TTAACAATAAAGTAGCAATTGGCTTTGAATGTTCGTATTATACCAGTATCAAGAGTCTGCAGCTGGGCCATAGTATTAGGAGGAAGAAACTTAAGTTGAGTGGCTTTGAGATCAAATTCAGGCTCTAGATATGATGTACAATTGTCAACCAGTAGAATAACCTGCCTTTCTTTCTCCTTACCAAACTTCTGAAGCTAGTCTAACCAAATTGCTCATGTCATTCAAGCCTTTTACTACTATAATAGAAATTATAATCTAAATAGCTAGCAGACTACTTTCCAAAGCAGCGTGGGTGGTGGGCATAGCCTATAAGCAGAGGTTCTCACTTGTCGGTACTACCTGCATTGACACAGAAGTCATAAGTAAGCCTGGTCTTATCTTCTTTACTTCTATGAGCTTCCTGTATCGCAAAACCAATTGAAGGTGGCATTCGATAGAACAATCCTGCTTTGTTAAAATTGTAGTAGTCCTCCTCCGAATAATTGTCACAGGCAGTATTAATTTCATTGATTTGATCAATTTGCTCAGCCAGCTTAACTGAGTTTGACTCACCATAAAATTGTCTCTGTCATAGCTTGGTACACTACTTAAACTTGGTAATCTACCCATGGCTCCATTTTAGGCACTCTGCTTCTGGAATGTTTTCAAGCTCACAAAACCTCTTTGCTTTAACTCAAATAAGGTCCTCTGTAAGCATAATCTCTAAAGCCCATTCAACTAGGTTAACACTACAACTATACTAAAGGAACTGCTGTAAAATCTCAGAAATAATGAACTTGCACAACTTATAGAATATACTAATACCTTTTCCTTTACATTAATGAATACATAGTCTTAACAATTCTTCTATTCAATGAAGTTTAATCAGAGCAGCTCTCCTCTGCTCATGCTCATTTTCCATCAATTTGGCCTAATAGTCTTAACTCTTCACTAAGATGTTGGTAACAGTCTTGCTATCAATATATATATGCTTTAGCTAAAGAGGTATTTGAAGTAGTTTTTGATCTATTTCAAGGGAATTTATCTTGATAGAGTTGAAGCTTTGCCTGATTTATCAAGTTATAATGCTTGTGTCACTACTGTTTTTCTTGATTCACCCGTTGTTGAACTCGACTGACCTGTTGGCAGGCTATTTTGCTTAGAGGGTTTGATAGTCATGGTACTGATCTTTACTCACTACCTTTATGACTTTTTTATCCCTCTCAATCCTCCTCAAAACCCCTTTCAACTTTCATCCAAATGGGAGTTATTTGCCTTCTTCTCTTTCTTCCATCTTTTCCCTGCACTGTTTTTTTTTTTTTTTTAAGCCAATTTTCACGCTAAATTTTCCAGATAGGCGTTTGCTGGAATTAAGATCCAACAGATGTCCTGGAATTGGAAACTATAGAAGGTATGGAATTATGAGAGGAATTTCCCATATGTCAAATATGGTTCCTCGATAAATACTGGAACTAGTAGAGGGATGAAAGTTTCGGAAGTGGAAAATATTGAAGGTTTCACTGTATATAGATTGTGGTAGGATGTTATTATAATAATAGCGTATTATTACAAGGAATACTGTAGAATATCATGAACAGGTGAAAGAAATTCGCAGAAAGTCATATTTTCTGAGGAGAGTGATAGTTTGTAAAATAGAGTTTAATCTAGTACTGTACACCAACTTTTGCGAGCTAAACCCTTACAGGATATGTTTTGAATAAGTTTTCTATCCAAACTGCATTTTTGAAATGTTTGTACTGTTTTGATACTATATTATTGTTTAGAGTTATAATTTTCAAGGTTTATAAAATATGGTTTGGGGGTGTACTAATACAGTGTCCGGCAAGTTGACTTATTTGACTATTTTTCTATATATTTTCACTGCTCTTATTTACAGTATCGGCCAACATACTGTTAAATTAAATGATTATATCGGAATGTACGAGGAAATAGATGGTCTAAAGGCTCAAATACAGCTGGTCACAAAAGGGGGTGGTAACTATACATTCAATAATATAGATAATATTAACAATGGTTCGAAGCTTTCACATCAGCAGAAACTTAGTTATCAACGACAAAAATTCGCTTATTGATCAGTGCCTTGTAGGCTGATAGGGGTGGCAGTACACTTTCAAGAAGCTCCTTATGGTAGTTCAGGAGACAATGGTCGGGTGATACCTTGTGCCAGTGCAGATAGGAATACGAAGATGTTACACCTTCTCCTACTGCACTATGGTGCACATACAAATATGATACTGTACTGCTTGCTATACCATTAGCCACACCCCCGCCTCCCTGCTGGAGTACCGGTACCGGCGGTCCAAGTTTTTTATCCTGGGCGACGGAGCTGCGCCCGAGTAAATATCACACCCACTACTACCTTTAACCTCAAGGCCTTCTCCCACTTCCCTCCTGACCTTCTCCACATGTATTCGGATATGGATGGCCGGACATTTAGGGATTGGGGACGTTAGGGCGGATGCTTGTGCACCGGCCAGACATCCCTTAAAGTATGATACCGTAGCACACAGTATTTTGTCAATGCTAAGTCCAGACACTCATGGAATTGGAATATTACCGTGGGCTATTTCTTTACCACTCCCACTTCATACATGTAGTATCATGCTCAATTCAGGACTGAAAAAAAATGTTGTGTTGCATTAAGGATGTCTAGCCAGTGCACTAGAATTCTCCCAAACGTTCCTGATTCTTGAGTGTCCAGCCACCTACGTCCATACTCGAGTGCAGGTATTCGTGCGGCGAAAACTGGAATGGTCAAGATGGTGCTAAGGACATCCAGCGCTTTCCCCCCCACAGCCCCCCAATTGGGGCAGGTCAAAAGAATGAATTGCTACAGCCCTACGGCGCTGGGAAAGGCAGCTCCAAGCCCTAGCGAGCTTCTTAATCACTCCAAGTCCAGACTCCGTATGGTAGCGAGCCTGCAATTGCTCTATCGCGGTACTGTACGAGTACATCATAGTACTATGGGAATCTAGCGAACGTGGCTCAATTTTGTGCAACTTGCATTAACGCCATTGCGCCCCCCCCCCACGATACTTGTACCACAACCCCCCCACGAGACTCTTTCCCTTAAAGGCAACTTTCTCACAGCGATAAGCAGTTATTAGCAATTCAATATATTAATTATCTTGCTACCGGGGAATCTTGCAAGGGGTATGGAACGCAACGAGGTTACAGTAGCGAATGCGCTTAGCTCGATGTCAAGTCTCCTTCCATACTAAATACAGTACCGGTACTTGAGTAGACTACAGTACAAGTACACTTACAGTATCCCTCAATCCGTCAGAGCGCCCAAGTGATCGGTATCGTAGAATAGTTCTCAGTTTTGAAACCCCGAGTAATTTACTTCCAGTCAAAGAAGGAAGGAAACTCCGACCTGATCCCTGGGGCGCAGCACCCGGCGCACTGTGGCTTCGCAGCTCAATTCTGCCACACCCATCGGCTCTCCGAAGCACGCGCCCGGGATCCCCAGGGTTCTGGAGCATATCTTCTCTTGGGCTGAATGTCGGAAGTCACCGTATCCTACCACAAAGACGTCCAAAATTCCCTCTCTTGGGTGAGGGGTGGTGTAAGAACGCTGCGAAAACTAGGCTAACCTCCTCAACCCCTTCCCAGCAAAAGGCAACTCCAACGTCCCTGCGCGAGGTTCAATCGTTCGTGTTCTTACATGTACAGTACTCCAGTATGATACTGTGAGGTACGAGACAGTAAGGGTTGGTGATACCTGCCAAACACCTCCGCCCAATACTTGTATATAGGCAACTGTTCCCTAAAGCTCAGGAGGGAATTAGTATTAAGGCGGTGAACTGCCTCCGCTGCTGCCTGGGTATCATATCATTTCTCCTCGTGAACTCCCCCCCAATTGCAGGACCAAACCTAAGCCTCTACTCGTACATACCGGTACTCGTGCTGGGATAGTATATATTCCCGCAAACAGCTAAATATCATACATACTCGTACAATACCAGAAAACAATGGTTCAGAAAGTACTCGTACAGCCTCCGGTGGAAGGATCGGGGGATCTGCCTTCAGGGGGGTTCTGATTGGAGCACTCAGCGTTGCTCGAACCAATTGAGCAACCGTGTTTCTGAACCTTTTAATTTCCACATTTCCCGATTGTTTCGGCCGGCGGGCTGTATATGGCAAAAGATGTGAGTGCTTATCTGAGCCTCCATGGTTCGAATTCATGACCCCTGTTTTCTGGTATTCGTAAATCATATTATACTTCTTATGATATCATAACTGTCAACCTTACTCGTAAAAACTCTCGATTGGACAGTGCGCGGTACGTTCGTTGGCCTTCTCTCTCTCAGCGAGGTTAAGAAATTCCCCAGGTTCTTTCTTGTCTCGGGGGGGGGGATCATAAGGAGGCTGTGTGTCTTGGACTTTATGGCGCACATTGTATTTTACTAGCGGAGGGAGTTCGATTAGCCGGGGGGGGGGTGAGGGAGCGAATTGAGTATCGTTGCTACCTGATTCACCCGTTCACCCCGTGCAGTGTGATACTATAAGCTACTTGCGCAGGACTGCTACTGTAGTAAAATATACAAAACTCACGGGCTGTACCTCCGTAAGTTACTGGTAACTGGTCCACCGGTATGATATAGTACTTGTACTCGTACCCTCATCTTGACCGCAAGTACTGTACAAGTAAATACCGGTAGTTCAAATCGAACTGGTCACACAAGCGCCGCTGGATACTCGAGTATGATACGGTACCCAATTTACTCTGTGATACACCGCCGACTCCAGCGCGACCGATCACACGAACCTCTCGTGCTACGATAATAACCAAATAGCCAACAAATATATGCGTTGGTCACTACTTGGCTTGCGATATTAGCTACAAATACTAAGGTGGTTTGAAGATTTCATGTTTTCCAGATCTTGATATTGATTAGTACTAGCAGGCTACTTTGAAAGAAAAAGAGGTAAGTATATCAGGAACACAAGTAGCAGCGGAAGTATAGATACGAGTTATAGTGGTGGCAATGTCGTACTCTAAAGATGAAGGAAATTTTGTCGAATAGGGTCTACTTGCGTGGCTACATGCTGAAGGAGAAGATGGGGAAAGAAGTAAATACATGAAAACGTGGTGGGAGTAAAAGTAAAAAGCTCGCTAACTGGTGCAGGCGTTATCGGTAGGGATAAGGGGAGAGTGATTAAATCGTCAGAATCAAAGCGCAAGCAAGCGAACAAACGGCCCCCGAAGAAAAAAAAAGATATGGCACGCAAGATAATACTCAGGAGAAGAGAACCCCCCAAGAAACTATTGCCGCAACAACCCATACCCCCAACGTTTCCCCCGCTAACCTCCCCATTCCCATCCCAGAAGCAGCTCCAACTGCCCCAGTAGCAGTGGTCCCATTTGGCAATGTGCCATTAATCACTAAGGTCTCGGTGCCGTTAACATTCGCGATCCTCGATGTATTGCTGTTAGGGCTCGCCTCGCCAATGACCTGTTTGATATACGCCGCTTCCGTGTTTTCCTCGCACCCACACACCGAGTATTCCTGGCACAGGCAGAGCACGGGAATAGTCTCATTCATTTTGCTTGTTACGTTGTAATAATTGACTCGGCTCGGCCATGGGTAGGCGAAAACCGCGAAAAGCCAGAGGCCCGGGAAGAACGACAGGAGGGTGATGGGAAGGAGGAAAGGGGTGATTCCACGGGGCGTACGGCGGCCGGAGGTGTATGGGACTGCTGCGCCGCCGCCGTAGACACGTGTGTTGCTGCCGTAGGATGGAGAGCGGCCGGAACCGTCTTTGGAGGTGCCGCCGGCGCTGGATCGGGAGGAGGTACTAGAGCGATTGTTAGTATTGTTCGCGGAGAATTGGAAGAATTGAATGGTGGGGGTTACCTAGAGTAAGAGGAAGAGGAACTAGATCCAGAGGAAGATGAAGAAGACCCCCCGCCACGACCACCACCTCCTGCTCCACCTCCACCACCACCTCCACCACCACCTCCACCACCTCCACCTCCACCTCCGCCGCTGCCAGCCCCACCACCGCGTCGTTTCTCTAACAACCCGCGACCCAGAAGGTTGCGGGCGGACAACACAGGGGAAGACAACTCCCCGCTTCGGGATACTGCCACGGCATTGGCGTTGGTAGCTGTGTAAGAAGAAATGCCAAAAAGAGTAATTAATAGAATAGCTAGTAAGTTCTTCATGGTGAGTGTATCTGTTCGTGTGTTGGGTCAGGAAGTAGGTTTGTCTCCTGAGGAATCCTGATGGCGCGTGAATACCAACTAAAGGCAATGGGCAGTGAGATGGGAAACCCCACTCCTTTTTGTATTGCAGGGCGGGCGAGCATTCGCTCTGTGGTTACCTGGAGAATAGCGGTTTAGATACTTACTTGCATACCCCACATGAGCATAGCCAGGCTAGGCTTTATAGGGGGTACATAGTGGCTCGGCATCTGGCACCCTTCCAGCTGCGCGACCTAAGGTATGATGTATGGATCTGGGTGCGGAAATGTGCAACACAGCCGCGGCTCAAAGTTCCCATCCCATACCCTATTGACTCCTATAATTCGCTATCTTCGTCATATCCCTGGTCTCCATAGAGATCACGACATTAGCCAAAGATATGTTTAGCTTGACAAGTTAACGGAATTGCTGAGGCCGATTGATTGGATATTCAACATAGCCGAGTGACTCATGCTAGACGGTGTCAAGAAAGCAGAAATCCATTTTGGGAATCATGAGATTAGTGAGCAAAGGGAGATAGCGTATGCCGGCAGAGAAAGTAGTAGGACACACCAACAAGAGGAGTTATTGCATATTAATTTTGACTTGGAGATTGGGAATAAATGAGAATGGTTACATGCAACAGTCTCCCCCAAGCCACCCCTACTTTACCTCTGCTTGTTGGAAACATAAAGTTAGATATTATTTCTGCTCAACTGCTTATTTTGAGCAGGGGTATAACTCCAAATATATTTTTTTTATCATCATTTTAATAGATACTTGTTCAAAGGCCCTAGTCACTACCTAAGAGGACATTCTATTGAACTATTACTTTCGTTGAAGTCTTCGGCACTCCTTGGGAGTGCCGCGTTCCTCAAAACGGGGTGAGAACTTTGGCACGGTTACCGCTACCGCATTCTCACAGCAGTACGAGTGCAATAACTCGTAGCACATGTTCAGCTTACCGGTATTGTGAATTCTCACTACTGCCCACTTCGGGCGTTCCTTCAGCCCATGGCGACCGCTTTCCTGCATTACAAGTACAAGTACTGTACCAAGTCGCCGGGTTTTCTTTACTTTTTTTTTTTCTTTTTTTTTTTTCGGAGGTGATGCGCCAAGAGTGGCAGGCACTACCTCAATCCAGCGGCATGCGGTAGTTTTCAATCTTCGTTGTATCTTCCGCCTTGCTGTGCAAGAGCCACAATTCAATCCAGCTCCTGGTGTTCGGGTACGTTGTGACACAGGGGTTAGGATTACCTCTACCGGTAGGCTATGTCGTGATAAATTCTTCGTGGATCGAGCGGAATTTTGATGGGGTGAGCGTTAAAGGGAGATATGTTCGCCATGGTCGATTCATGGTGAATCTCTTAGCACACTTGCCTGCTTTGTTCAGCCGGCAAAGTACGGTTGTGGTAATCTTGTGCTGCGGTCGCACAACCATTTGGGGTGGTCAGCAGTCAGCAATGTCGACCATGATAGATACCGTACCCCGCTGAATCAAGTGCAGTTTTGGTGGAGAGCTAGATTACCTGTATGATACTTGATCGGGTATTAGTACCGACAATATATTAGTGGGGTAACGACAATCACAACATAGCTCGGATGAGTCAGCATTATTCAGGCAGGTACCCGTATTGGTGCTCGCTACCCCATCATTCTCGGCACGCTATCAAGTAGTCTAAAAAATTGAAAACGCTGAACACCTCCCTGCGTAGATAGATACTCATTGGTGTGTTTATGTGGTGATCAGCGCAGTTGGTATACCACTGAAAAGTTCCTTATTTGGGTCTAGCTGCCTGGGTAGCCTGGGAGACTGTCTACCGTATAGTGTCGGACGTGTGAAACCTGTTCACTTTTTGGTAATTTTGAACAGGGTTTTTTCTGCAATAAAAAGGATATCCCTTGGCATTCCTTGGCATTCCTTGGCATTCCTTGGCATGATTAATAGTACCTTAAAAACTTGGTCATAATGAACTAGCCTGGGCTGATCATGCAGCAAATTTGGACTCTTTGATTGATGGTGAGCCCATGAATGGGGCCAGATAATATAAGCAAGTGTCTTTAAATGACCTCTTAAGCCATTCAAACCACTGGGAACTGCCTGCACAACTAGTCCAGGTGAGTTTGTTATGACCGAGTTTTTATGGTAGTAAGAAGATGAATCAAGATAGATTTTATGTCATTGATAGAATATAATCCAACTAGATAAGAAAGATGTACATAGGAAGAAAAGAAAAAAAAAGAAAGAAAGAAAGCTACAAATCCCTAGTCAGAAAGTATACTGGGTGATGTGACTTGTATTCCTTGATGTACTTTTCATAGTCTGTTATACCATACTGAACTCCTGTACAATAGTCGTAAATGCATCAAAGGTAGTGATGATAGAAGCTGTGAATTGTAGAGGGCATTACAGATACTAAAGCATCAGGAATTTGAGCTTGAAGTCCACTAAGGGTGTAGTGGCAGTACTCATGTACATATACTTTAGATTGAGCCCAAAAGTACTCAATCCAATTGATCTTACAGTCCATTCGGGGTGGGGATTATCGCTTCGAATGGCGAATTGTTAACGGTTCGGG